TGGCGAGGGGCTCGGTCACTCAGCCACTCAGCCACAAGGCATCGGATGTGGCGAGGGGCTCGGTCACTCAGCCACTCAGCCACAAGGCATCGGATCTGGCGAGGGGCTCGGTCACTAAGCTGTGCTGTCAGGGCAGCACTGTGCACAGCCCCGTGGTCCTGACACAGAGCCCCTCAGAGCAGCACAGCCATGCGTCCCAGCAAAGTGAGAAAATACCCATCTCCTGCCCTTTAAATGGGCTGCCCGTTGAGACCGAGCAAAACTTCTGATCAAGTTACTCATCCAACATTTCCTTCTGGAGAAGATGGGGCCAGGCAATCGCTGGCCTACGTCACTGGATGTGATAGCGCCCCCGTGACAGTGCAGCAGCAACAAAGACCTTGGTCCTGGGACCACTGCCAGCCCCCAAAGTGACAGCAGCAGCTGAGCCCAGGGCCCCGTCACCACTCCTGGGATATGTGTCAGGTGCAGCACAGGTCCTGGACCCCAAGTCTACTGATTCAAAATGATGGTGCGTCCCCAGCAAAGGTGGGTGCCGAGACACAACCACCACATGACACAAAGACCGTGGCACCCACCTTCCCCTCCTCTCGTGGAATGATGACGTTCTCGTAGCGGTTCCGGCACTGTTTGGAGGAGCGGTAAATGCGGCTGCAGGAGTTCACCACGTCGCTGACAAGGTCCCAGTTGGGTGTATGGCCAGGCGACACAATTGTGAGGTTCAGGGGGAGCTCCAACAGCTGCCTCACAGCCTGGGAAGGGGTTCCAGGGAGCACCATGAGCTGAGTCAGCAGGTGTGCCCTCCTCCCCCAGGCACCCACAGCGCACGCCGGGCCCAGGCCTGGAGCCACCCACCTGCAGCAGCGCCCAGTCCTCACTGACAAGCCACTCGGGGCTGTCCTGGCCTGACTCGGCGGCCGGTCTGGCAAAGGTGGGCAGCGGCTTGGCGAACTGTGCCTGCTGCTTCAGCAGGATGTTCTTCTTCTGCTCCCGGCCCTCTCGACGCATCTTGAGAAGGCCCGGCGTGGCACGGTCAAACAGGGAGCGGGGCGGCACGACTGCTTCCCCATGTCGTTGCTTCTTCTTCCTGCCTGCAGCTGGACAGAGGACCCGTCAGGGTGGTTCTCTCCAAGGAGAAGTGGTGCCTCCCAAGGAGAAGGCAGAGGGGAGCCAGCATGGAGGGACCGCTAAGAGCAGGCAAGAAGAACGCAGCCCTGTCCTGCTGCTATGAGTAATTACAACCATGAGCTACTGGTGAGTCGCCAGGCACACATAGCAGCGCAGTGTGGATGGGATGTGTACCTGAGGGGTCGGTTTTGTGCCGCTTCCGCTCCTTCCTCACGTACACGGGGGGCAGCTTGGATTCAGGGATGGGCGTGGCTTCATACATGAGGCACATGACTGAGTCTATATAGATGTCGTTGTCATCCTGCGGGGGAGTGGGCGGCGTCCACAGCTGCACACAGAAGGGAATTCCGTTAGCAGTGTCCCTCCCAAAAAGCTGGCCGACTTAGAGACAAAACACAGAGTCACTTACGGGCATAACTTCTGTGTGTCCCTCTGCATCTTCACAGATGTACTCCTGTGGGAGACAGACAGGTTGGAGAGCGTCCTGCTGTACGCCACGAGACTCACGAAGTCTTCCAGGTAAGTACGACAATAGCATTACCCGCAGGACTCGCGAGCGTTTTTTTTTTTTTTGGTCACAGCCTTAAAAACCCTATGGAACACAGTTTCACTTTGCAATACAGGCCATGAACCAGAATCAAACCAACAGCCACTGGTTTGTTTTTCTGGTTTAACAAGAGGGAGAAATTCCCCAGAATGTAACTGAGAGGAACTCTGTCACCACTTTGGCTGCTGAACGATTAGGAGCCAGAGTTAATCTGATTGACAACATGTAAGAGAGGGCCTAACACACACCCAGGTGTCATAGACCAACTCACATGTAAACCAGTGACTCACGAGTGCTTCTTAATCACCACTAGCCAATCAGCTAACAAAGCCTCTAACGAAGTACCAATTACTGAAAAGACTGTCTTTCAACTTGAGTTCTACTGCTTGGACCAGTAAGGCAAGACCTTCTGAGAAGCAATACAGCCTGCGGATGACTCGGGCATGGGGGAAGCCACGGCTGGGGGCTGGGGAGGAAGGACACGCACACGCACCATATTGTAGGCGTCCCCCCGCGTGTAGGTGAGCAGCTCGTCCTGCGGCCCCTCCTCCTGCACCCGTGCCACCCTCTCCTGCAGGTTCTTCACGTTCTGGGCCTCCCACTCCTTCATCAAGGCCATGGTCACGTTCTGCAGGAAGAGGGCCAGAGAAAGTGTTCCCCAGGAGCAGCGGCGGCAGGCATGATGCAGTCCCACCCTCCTTGTAAACCCCGGCTCATCATAAGTGACTTGCTACAAGGTGGGCTTTGCTTTCTGTCTCTCCAAGCCTGTGCAGGCACGCTGACTTCAAAGCAAACAGACGCTTCTGACGGTCTTACCATAACCAGAACCAAAAGCTGATTCTCTTACCTCACTGATGCTCTCTCTTTCTTGATGGATGGAAGTGTGAAATAGTTCCAGGTAATTCAAAGCATACTTTTCAATGGGTGTGAGCTGTTCCAACACACATTTTTGAACCGTGTTAATAGCAAGTTAATGAAGGTTGAGTTCCTTGTCCCACCCCCCATCAGAACTCCAATCACAGAACTGCCTGTTCTCAGTCAAGGCCAAGAAGAGTTGTGTGAGAGGGTCAGGTGTCTACAGTGACTAGCAATGACAGCAAACAGTCGGGTTTCAGCACAAAAGAGAAGGCCTCAGACCTGCTCCATGAAGTCAGCAAGTTCCTCTAACTGGGATGGCTCCTCCGCGAGTCTCAGGAGGCCTCTGTCAGGTGACGGGATGGCAGCTCCTGCTCCCGATGCTGCCTCCTCACAGAACTTCTGGGCATCCTCCTCCAGATACTCAATGCTCTTGAGGGCCTGGAAGATTCCACATCAAGATCACTTGGATAAACTTCTAAAATGCAGGAGTTTTGAAACAGCTATAGTATGCGTGAGCAGCTCACAGCCATCCAGACACCTCCCCAGAGAACGGGCAGCTGTCATCTTTGAGAGGCACTGCTGTCTCCTACTGGGGGCAACAGATCTGGTTGCTAGGCAACACGTACACATCCTTGTTTTCGACAGTAACCACTGAACCTTCCTGAGCTGGTTTGAAGTCCTGGCTCGGGGACAGAACTGAAGGGTCAGGAGGCAAAGCTGGGCAGGAGCAGGCTGAGGGCCAAGGGTGAGGGCGGGAATGGGGGCGGCGGCTCCGGCTGGCAGTGCATCCTGCTCACCTCTATGAATGGCCGTGCGATTTTGGGGGCGATGGTCTCTGTGGCAGAAGGCTCCTGGGAGAGCACCACAAACTCCTCGGCCTTCACCGGGAAGCCCGCATCCTCCATGGGTGAGCACACCTCAAACAGTTCCTGGATCGTGCGCTGAGTGCAACAGGGCACGTCACTCTCAGCACCAAGGGGACCCCCAGTGCTGCCCACGGGGCTCCCAGCCCCCCACTGCATGGTGCTGCCAGGTGCGTCCTCCCGGCTGTGGCCTGCCTATGCTGTGGTACCTGCGTCAAGAAAGCTACAGAGTAGTCATTCCCCTGGGCGGCCACCTCTCGGATCAAGTCTTTTGTGCCATTCTTCAGCAACTTCTCCTCGACGGAATTGCCACTCACAAGCCTACAGACAAAACGCACACCATCAAGTGTCTGAGCCACCAAAGCAGGAGGTCATCCTTCCTGTCTCAGCTCCCACGGCAGGGCCCCACGCTGCCCCTCCACCAGCCACGTCCTCTCTGTTCCCCGCCAGTCAACCCGGGAACTTCCTGTTCAGTCCTTGGGACTGTGGCTGTTGTGGGTCTTCACCTTCCCCCAGGCAGCCACTGCTGACCACCCAGCACACACACCCACACCTTTCTCCGTGATTCCCTATCACTCTCTTTAGACACAAGATGTCGGGCAGCAGCAGTGTGGACCAGACTGCATCCTGCTTTTCTCACCTAATAGCACATTACAGAAGCCACTGCAGACGACAAGTGCAGCCCCCAACCCATTTTAATGACATAGGGGGTCATGCTGGGGTAGATGGTGGGGCGGGGCCGGGGCTGAGCCTGGGCTGAGGAAGCTGGGGCTGAGGAGGCTGGGGCTACAGAGGCTGGTAAGGAGGAGGCTGGGGCTACGGAGGCTGGTAAGGAGGAGGCTGGGGCCACGGAGGCTGGGGCTACGGAGGCTGGTAAGGAGGAGGCTGGGGCTACAGAGGCTGGTGAGGAGGAGGCTGGGGCTACAGAGGCTGGGGCTACGGAGGCTGGGGCCACGGAGGCTGGGGCTACAGAGGCTGGGGCCACGGAGGCTGGGGCTACGGATGCTGGGGCTACGGAGGCTGGGGCCACGGAGGCTGGGGCTACGGAGGCTGGTAAGGAGGAGGCTAGGGCTACAGAGGCTGGGGCTACGGAGGCTAGGGCCATGGAGGCTGGTAAGGAGGAGGCTGGGGCTACAGAGGCTGGGGCTACGGAGGCTGGGGCCACGGAGGTTGGGGCTACGGAGGTTGGTAAGGAGGAGGCTAGGGCTACAGAGGCTGGGGCTACAGAGGCTGGGGCCACGGAGGCTGGTAAGGAGGAGGCTGGGGCTACAGAGGCTGGTGAGGAGGAGGCTGGTGAGGAGGAGGCTGGGGCTACAGAGGCTGGGGCTACGGAGGCCGAGACAGAGGAGGCTGGGCAGAACCTGGGACGAAGGAGCCTGGCCCAGAGGCAGCTGGGGTGATGGCTGAAGCACAGACTGGGTGGAGGCTAGGACGGTTTTAACCCAGCAGGTCTTACTCAGAGACTCCCTACAAGGCTCCAAGTCTACAGCCTGGATCAAAAAAGGCCTCTTCACTGTCACCTGCTGCTAGCCTATGGGCCTCCCAATTCTACCACCTAATGCACAGGGGAGACTTCTCAAGTAGTTGGCCTCTTGGAGCTGCTGGTTCGTAATCTTAGGTTTCTTATCCTCTTTTAAAGTAAGGAAGGGACCGTGAACCTTACAAGAGCTGTTTAACCCGTTATCTGTCCCAGTCTACAAAGAATTCTGGTGGCAAAGTCATTACATGCTCGGCTGCTACCAAAAGGTCAGCAGTTTGAACCCAACAACTGCTCTGAGGGAGAAAGATGAGGCAGTCTGCTTCCATAAAGACTGACAGCCTTGGAAACCCTCTGGGGCAGATCTACTGTCCCCTGGGGGCACTGTGGGTCAGAATGGACTTGGTGGCCATGAGTGGGTCCCAAGCTACTGTTTGCCTATTTGCTTCATTTACAGCCTTTTTTTAAAAAAATGTTTATTTCACTCTAATCACACCTGTCTGTCTTTTCTCACGTTGTCTTGTTTGGTTAAAAAGACTCCTTTAAACCTAGGCTACCTGCACCGCCTCTGAAATCCTGCTTTGAGATTTCTCTCTACTTCTTACTGTGAAGTCCTCATCCGTAGGCACTGAACTGTGTTTATAAAGGGGAACCACACCCTGACTCCACTCCCTGCTACCTAAACAGCACAGCACCGCAGCATAAGTTAGTCAAGCATGCCCTGCCACTTCTACTGACATGCAGCCTTTGGCACCCATGGAGCCCCACACGTGAGGGCTCTGCTCCTTGCACACCTTCTCAGCCCTGTCCACAGGGACAGGATTATGCAGGTGGGCGGCAGGCAGTCACACATGACAGGTACATGTCTCCCACTCCTCCCCTACAGGAATATGATAGGATCACACAGGCATGGCAGGCGGTACATGGTCATGCCTGACAGACATGTCCTGTCCTACTCCTTCCCCACAGGGATATGACAGGATCACGTAGCAGGCAGTATGCAGTCACGTGTGACAAGCACATGTCCCATCCCATTCCTCCCCTACTGGGATACAAAAGGATCAAGAACCGGGCACTATGCAGTCACATATGACAAACCTATGTCCTGTCCCACTCCTCCTGTACAGGGATATGACAGGATCACACAGGGGTGGCGGTATGTGGTCACACCCAACAGGCACATATCCAGTTCCACCCCCAGCCCTCACTCCTCCCCTCAGCACTTCTCCTGGCCATTATCAGATGTGCTTCATTCCAAATAAACTTCAGGAATCATCTCATCCCACGTGTGCTGACACCACAGCATGACTCTGGGGAAAGGCCCATGCTAGGAGTCTTCCTGTCAGGAACGGCGTGCCCGTCTCATCAGCACGCCTTGCCCGCGTCCTATACTGTCCTGCGTCTGCGCTGCCTGCAGTGCCGAGGCTGCCTGGTGACAACTGAGCAGTTCTCTGAAGGGCCAACGAGGAGAAGGTGTTCTCCAAGAACCACTACGCACTCCACGGAAACTGCACCACAGTGCCGCCCTCTGGCCGAGCTTCACGGATGAGCTGTCAGGCCTTTCCGCCACAGAGCTGCCAGCTGGGCCGGATCACACGAAACACAGGTGCCACTCAGGCCCCTATTTACTGAGCTAGAAACGCACCTGTCTACAGCACCGTGAGGGAAGACTGACAGCGTGTCTAAACATGAGGAAAACATCCAGAAAAAGACCCAGTACAACCTCCTGTGACAGCTCTGCGGGATCCTCATCTTGCTCCCCAACACACACATCTGACATCTGTAATCTGAGAGAAGATCCTGACGTAGCTCTGTACACGGTGCCGCCTGCAGTCTCGCAGAGCCAGGTGTCACTCCAGCTTGGCCAGGCCAGCAGGATGCCAGGCACCACCACTCTGCCCCTGCGCCCTCCCGAGGGGCACGGCAGGTGACGCGAGAGGAAGCAAGCTGGGGCTGCGGCCCGCGCCAGGCTTTCACCTAACGTCACCGCACTGGAGGGCAGCCACCATGGAAGCTTCAGGACACACAGCAGTTTCCCTGTGAGATGCTTGGCTACTTGTAACATCTGTGCCTGGGGGATTTTAACAGAGCGGGCCTTGCTCAGCACCCGTTTTACTAACAGATACACTACTTCAATGTTTGAAACAGCCTCAAGTAGGAGTTGCCCTTTTAGAGTAGATGCACATGTCCTTCTGCGCAGGCTCGGGTGCTGCTGGGACGCCGGAAGCCTTGCCACCAGAATTTCAAACCCAGCAGGTCGCCCATGGTGGACGGCTTTCAGTACAGCTTCCAGACTAAGACCAGGAAGGACACGGCCATGCACTTTCTAGAAACTGGCCAGTGAAAATCTTATGAATAGCAGCAAACACTGTCTAAGCTGCTCAAGTTGGAAGATACTCAAAATACAACAGGAGACCTGCCACGTCCAAGTGGAGTCCACCTGAATGACACAGACGGAGCAAGCTGTGGGGCCTTTTGTTTGCTGACGTGGCATGACTGCAAACTGCAAACATGCACGAATAACAGAAGCGTGAGAAGGACAGATCTGTCCACTAGGGTAAAAAGTCAAGGGAAGGTTTATATATGGAAGGAAACTTTGTTTGTGGGCTACCAGGAAGGGGGGGCGGAAGGGAGGGGAGGGAAAGTTCCTACATAGGTTGGGGGGAAAAAAAAAAAAACTATGTAGACACAGGTACAGATATAAACCAAAGGTTATTAGCGGTTACGGGGATGGGAAAGAGGGAGAAAGGGGAAGCTTTTATTTGGGGGGCACTAAGTTTACACTAATGGTGGTGGAATATTTTGGAGAAGGACAGCAGTAATGGTGGCACAACATGAAAAAATGTCATCAATGTCCCTGAGCTGTAAATGGGGAAGTCATCATGTTGGTGAACGTCTTGGTATGTGTATTGTCACCATGATAAAAAGTGAAAACAATAATCATAGGAGTGTGAATTGTATGAAATAGGAATCCAGGAAAACTTGAAGCTGTCCAAAATGAAACGGAACGTGCAAAGATCGATGACCTGGCATCAGTGAGCTGAAATGGACTGGTGTTGGCCATTCTGAATCATGGTCTACTCTGCAGGAATGACAAATTGAAGAGGAATGGCGTGCCATACATTGTCACAAAGACTATCTCAAGATCTATCCTGCAGTGCAACACTGCCAGAGGTTGGACAGTATCCATACATCCACCGGGAAGACCAGTTAATACTAGTAGTATCCAAATTTATGCACCAACCACTAAAGTGGAGGATAAAGAAATCGAGATTTTTATGAACTTCTGCAGTCTGAAATTGATTAAAATCAGGAAAGGTGTTGATCAGGATTGTATCCTTTCACACTTCTTCAGTCTGTATGCTGAGCAAACAATCTGAGAAGCTAGACTATGTGAAGAAGAACACAGCATCAGGATTGAAGACTCGTTAACAACCTGCGATATGCAAATGACACAACCTTGCTTAATGAAAGTGAAGAAGACTTGATGCACTTATTGATGAAGAGCAAAGATTACAATCTTCAACATGGATTACACCTTAACATAAAGAAAACAAAAATCCTCACATCTGGACCAATAAGCAACATTACGATAAACGGAGAAAAGACTGAAGTTGTCAAGGATTTCATTTCCCTTGCATCCACAATCCAAGTACGTGGAAGCAGCAGTCAAGGAATCCAACGATGCATTGCACTGGGTGGATCTACTGTCAAAGACCTCTTTAAAGTGTTAAAAAGCAAAGATGCCACTTTGAGGACTAAGGTGCACCTGACTCAGGCCACAGCATTTTATTCTATTTATCTATTTATTCGAAGAAAATGACTGAACTTTATTGGAAGATACAAAAGAGCCCCGATGAGTGGCTTGGTTTGTTAGTGCTACCATAACAAAAATATCACCAATGGATGGTCTGAAAGAGCAGAATGTATTGCTGTTTGCAGAATGTATTGCTATGTAGCTCTGGAGGCTACAATTCCAAATCAGAGCATGAGCTTGGTGTGGGAGGGCGTCCTTCCCTGTCAGGAGGCCCAGGCATGCCTTGGCATTCCTCGGCTTCTAAAGGGTTCTCGGCTGGTGTCTTCCCCACATATGCATCTCTCTGTGTCCACATTCCCTTTTATAAGACATCACCAGGAAGTGATTAGCCTTAGAACCCATCCTAGTCTGTTGTTGTTAGGTGCTGTCGAGTCATCTCCAACTCAGTGACCCCATGTACAGCAGAACAAAACACTGCCCGGTCCTGTGCCAATCACTGCTCACAATCCCTACTAGACCCAAGCCCATTATTACAGTCACTATGGCAAACCATCCTGTTGAGGGCCTTCCCCTTTTTCGTTGACCCTCCACTTTACCAAGCATGACATCCTTCTCCCAAGAGTGGTTCCTTCTGACAACATGACCAAAGTAGGTGAGACAAAGTCTGGCCATTCTCGCTTCCAAGGAGCATTCCGGCTGCACTTCTTCCAGGACAGATTTGTCAGCCCCATTAGCAGTCCATGGTACTTTCAGCATTCTTCACCAACACCACAACTCAAAAGCATCAACTCTTTTTCGGTCTTCCTTATTCATTATCCAGCTCTCACATGCATATGAGGCGAGTGAAAATACATGGCTTGGGTCAGGCACATCTTGGTCTTCAAGGAGACATCTTCACTCCTCAGAATTTGGAAGAGGTCTTTTGCAATAGATCTACCTAGATTTACCCTAGTCTGGTGTATCCTCATTACCATAACAAAAAAAACCTTATTACAAACACAGCCACGTTCACAGGTACAGGCATTAGGATTTCAACAATCGTTTTTGGGGGGCTACAATTTAAGATATAACAATGAAAAAAAGAAACAAATTTTGTTCCTGGAAAGAACTCCTCTCTATTTTGTAAGCTATGGCATTTTATATCTCCTCATATGCCTGTGAAAGCTGCATGGTGAATAAGGAAGACCACAGAAGAGATGATACCTTTGAATCATGACGTTAGCAAAGAATACTGAATACCACACAAACTGACAGAACGAACAAGTCTGTCTTGGACAAAGCACGGCCAGAATGCTTCTTAGAATGGAGAGTGGACAGGTTTTGTCTCATGTACCTTGGACATGTTATCAGAAAGGACCAGTCCCAGGAGAAGGAAACCATGCTTGATGAAGCAGAGGGTCAATGAAAGAGAGGAAGACCCTCTGACACGACGGATCGACACAGTGGCTCCAACAACAGGCTCAAGCACAGCAACTATCGTGAGGACGGCTCAGGACCGGACAGGCCTTTTTCCAATGTACACAGGATTGCTGGGTCAAAATCAACCAGTTGGCAGCCAAAAACAGCAATAAGTGCAGACAAGCAATGGCAGCTAAATGCTGAGAGGATGGGTCGAGTCACATAACTGACTACATGAGACCACACCAAGCTGCAGGCAATTCAGTGCATCTAAAGAGAAACACTTCTAAAATGAACACGGGCGCTCTTCAGTTGTACATGCTGTCTCTGCAGTAGGATGTGTCCCACACCCTCCACAAAGGTCCTCCCAGAGCCCATCTCCCCATTACCGGATGGCACCACTGTCACCTGTAGATGTGGATGTCCTTGCAGCGCCCAATCCGGTCGCACCACTCCTGGGCCTTGGCGTCCATCAGTGGGTTGAGGTCATTGTCGTAGAACACCACTGTGTCTGCCTCCACCAGGCTCACAGCTATGGATCGGCTGTGGGTTGACAGGATGGCACAAAAGATCCGCCGGTCTCGGTTGAAAGTCCTCATCAGCTCCTATGGTGACACCGACCATCAAGTTAGGATTCCATATCCATGTGGGAAAACAGGACACTGCCCGATACTTATCAATAAGAACTATCCCACAGCAAAACTGCTTCCTTCATGGCATCTGACAAGTGGCCCATGCTCCAGTGACACAAGTTTACGCTCTCTCTAGCTCCTTCGTGTACCAACCCCATAGCTCCAGCGACAGGGGGGCAGATGCCACCCCACAAGCACTGTCAGCTCAATGTGTAGGCCCCAGAAGAGCATGGAGTCTGCCTGGGGAGGGACACGTGCTTTCTCATCTATCCTCAGGCAATGCAGGGCACTCCACTGACGAGAAGCCCCTGGAGTAAGGCTGAGGAAAAAGACAAGGGTGAAGCCCTGGGGAGAAAGCCCGGCCTCACTTGGAGCAACCACATGGAACCACTTCTCTTCTGTCCGTCCCAGTGCCAGTCCTGATAACGCTCTGCCCCAGAAAGTTCTGGACGTACTTGAATTGCTACCAAGAAAATGCATTAATTAACAAGCTGCTGGTATCTTCCTAGGCCCTATCAGTATGTACATGTGCCCGTGTACAGAAAACGCTGGAGATGCTGGACGATGCGTGTGAAGTGGGTAATGTGGTCCACAGTCCAGCATCTTGTACTGCATTTAACACAGTACTGGGAACATTCTGCCATGTTTCCAAACCTTCTGAGGTGTCACTGTGACTTCTCATCCTTCCTACAGAATGCCACCGAGAGGCCGTAGTTTCAGACCCTCCCGAATCATGTGGCATGCACACGAGCCTGACCTGCCTTGCTCATGTCGTCAACTGGGTTGGTGTGAACATATATGCGCAATGACAGCTGGGCACATACGCTGTGAACAGGTGTGTCATCGCTGTGGCTTATGGAAAATGTCCTCAGTGACAGTCTAAGGTCAGAAGCCACCCTCATTTCTGAGGGTCACATCCATCCTGTCACCTGCTCCTGAGAAGGCTGTGCTGAGTCACGCCACCAGTGAGAGAAGCCCGTGTCTGTTCTGTAAGGCATCAGAACATCCTTAGCTACCTTGGAAAGTGAAAGGCAGACGCGTAATTTCATTACCATAACTAGAAACGAGTCTACCGTGTCTCCGTGTTTTGCACTGTGGCCAGTCCTGTCTCACTGACTGCACATTACCTGACACACCTGGCTGACTGTACTCACCTAAAACAGGGCTCCATACTATCTACCTGGCATATGAGATAACATAAAAAATCAAAGGACAGAGCTGAAGACCTTTGAGAAGTGCCGTGGACTGTGACGGTCTGCCGTTTCCTCGAAGAGCCTCTCCCTGCTATCACTGAATTCTAAAGCTCCTCGCAGTGAGAGCCCTGACACACAGGCAGCTGACCCCCACTCAAAGTCCCTGCTCACCTGCCGCTGCTCCCTGCTGGCGTTCTCGTCGATCCGTACGTAGGTGAGATAATGGAAGTTCAGGAACATTTCTAGGATGTCCAACATGAGGACCATCTGTGACAGGATCAGGACGCGGCGCCCCTCTGACTTCAACTTCTGAAGTAAGATTGCCAAAGCCTCCAACTTCCCTACAAAAGGTGCGACCCTGAGAGCTGCAGGCCAGAGCAATAAACCCCCCGTGGTGTGCGGCAGGCCGCAGGTGCTGCTCCGTACCTGAGTCGAACTGCACCAGCCTGAGCTCGGGAAAGCGCAGCAGGCGCAGGGCCGTGACCTGCTGCAGCTGCTGCAAGTGTGCTGCTGTGTACTCTCGCAGGCGGTGGTTCAGCACCCTCAGCCCGTGGCTATACGCAGAGGGTGGCCTCACCACACACAGGGACGGGGGCGCTGCGACCACGGCAGGCATCACACACATCACCCTGGAAGAAGATGCCTCGTCACCTTGCACAGGCATCGGCCTGTGCTATTTGTGACAGCAGAGGTGGCAAACCCCATAAACCAAGAGTCTCTGCAGGAAGGTCCTACGGTGACGTGGTGGCTAGCTTACATGTCTTTCACCAACAGCAGCCATGAGGGTGGGAGCCCACAGGTGGGCCGTGACTGGCCAAGCTGAGTGGGACAGCCCGCTGCCACTCCTCACGGCAACTAAGCCCAGCAGATGGGCCAATGACTACAGGAGCTGGTTCCAAGGTGGCCTGTTCTGGCTACACCCGTCTCACAGGGGTGTTGGGACACAGGCATTGTCTCCCAGCTGGTCCAGGGGTAAAGCCCAGAGCTGCTCCAGCTGCAGCTCCACGAGGGGAGCAGAATCCGGAAGCCAGGCCCTCCAGCCACCTGCAGACATTACTGTGACAGCCAGTCTCCTCCGAAGGGAGTTGGCAGTGCTACTGAGTGCGTTCACACTAAAGTCATGTGTGCTGTTCAAGGAGGAAGAAGGAAAGTGGCACAGAGAAGGCTGAGAGGGAGGGTTGCTAACCTAGACACGGAGGGCTGAGCACTGCAGCCCCCACCCATTATCTCCGTTTCTGGCCTAAGAGACCCTGCAAGCTAAGCCAAGCACGGGGCCCATGGGGCTCCCTCTGTAAACATGGAAGGAGCGTTGAGAACTGCCTCTCGACGATGAAAGGACAAAACCAATCTGAAGCCGAACCTTGAAATTCTGGCAAAGCCGTGAGTGAAACCACCAATACGTGTACTGCTGGCCCAGCAGACCGAGCAGTCTCTCCTCAGCCAGCATGCCCCGCACAGGACACCAAGTGCTTCTCTGCCCTGGTGTCAGGGACTGAAATTGGGCTGGGCACTGCGGAACTTGGGTTTTTGTTTTCTCTTTTAGAAGGTGTTCCTTAGTTTAACACGCACATGTTACTCAGCATTCAAATACAATACTTTACCTAGTTACTTCAAGAAAATGTTTTTAAAAGAACAAAACAGTCACCTGCAATAAAACTACCTATTACCTACACAGAGAACCTGGCACGGGTGCCCAGCTCTGCAGCCAGGTCTGCCCAGTTGTACCGGAGGCAGCTACCCTACCCTGGGGGGAGGGACCGCAGGAGTCCCTGAAGGTAGGCACCAGAAAGAGGCACACACTCCCACAGACACCAAACAACAAGGTGCATCTGATCCCACATGTTTTCAAAACACTCAGACGTGACAACTCACAGAGAAACTTCCCACGAACATCCACAGTGCACGGTGGACATTAACTACCGAATGCACACATACAGACGGACGTACCTGTCAATGACATCCTGTAGGGACTCTTGGCGTTGGCTCAGTGTCAACAGCAGGTCACCCCTGCTGCATATGCCCATCGCATGGCTGCTGGCCTGCGTGGCCAGGGAGCAGACCCCCAGCAGGTCCCGGCCATAGACGGGCACACGGGAACAGCGCCACTCATTGACGAGGAAGACCTGCTCCAGTCGTTCCCTCAGGAGTCTGGCCCTGTCCTCCTTGTTGGAAATAGTGATGAGGACACGGTTACTCGAGACACTCCTGCCACATTACCTCTGCACAACACAACCTGGGCCCCTTGTGTGTGGTGGCCAGCTGCAGAACACGCACACACACATGGTCTACAGGGTCCTGTCTGCAGGAAGCAGGGACACAGCGTGCCAGCCCCTGCCAACACAGGCAAGCATTTCTGATGCCCAAAAGGCCTTCTGGGAGAGTACAAAGACCGTGAAAGCCCATAAAACCATTTCTTTTTCTCTATTAGGCAATGTGCCTTTGAGAGCACACAGTACAGAACGCACAGCCTCTAGGAGCAGTGGGGCTTCCGGGAGCAGCGGAGGTGGAGTGCCGAAAGATAACAGCATGGGCGCATCTAGTGGATGGTACCTGGGTTGGAGCGCCAAGGGGCGAGGCCGGTTTGGGGGCCATCCCGGGTTCTCCTGCCACCATGGGGTTAACTGCCACTCGACTTGGAATGCCAACTGAAAACACAAAACAGAGTCTGAAAGGAGCCCCAGCAACACTTAGGACTTGTTCTGCTACTGGCACTGCCCCAGCATGGCCCCTGCAGTTCAGGAAGGGCATCAGCAACATGTGTCTTCCATGCACAAAGAGATGGGAGACTTTCTGAGTCAGCCACAACTTGATGACTGCCACACCGAGAAGGAAACAGACCCCAGACAGCCAAGAATTATGAAATCACATGAATAAGTGCACATAAGCAAACAAGACTGCCTCCAAGAACAAGCGGAGGAATCAATACAAGACAGCCAAGTCCTTCAACAGAGCTGCCTGGACCATCTCCGGCACTTGCCACTAGGATCACAAACGCTACACAGGCCGCCACCCAAGGACACCAAACGCCACCTGTAAAAGGTGCTGAGAAAGGAGAGTCATGACAGCACTGAAGCTGACTCCTCAGCTAGGAACACCCCCAAGAGCTGCACGCAGAGCCCACAGCCCAGGTACACAGGGCAGTGCTCTAAGTGCCAAGAGGAAACCAGGAGCCAGGGCCAGAGGGTGAGGGCAGAACAGGCACATAGTCAAAGAGGCAAGGGGTGCACAGGGCCTGTGGTCCAAGCTGCCCATCAAGGGCAGAGAGCCCCGGTGAGCAGGCACCCCTGAGCAACGGCAGTCCAGGTACGCTGTTACCACAGCCCCTGCCTGCCCGGGAAGAGCAGAGTGAGTGGAGGCCAGCGCTGGGCCAGAAGAGGCAGAGGGTGGCTGCAGAGGCCCAGGGCAGGCCTTCACCAGCCGCAGTCAGGGGCAGGGGGAGGAGGGAGAGACTGGGACAGTCTGTCACCCAGGGTCGGCTGAGGGAACTCACACCAGAGGCTCTCTCCGAAAGAAAACTGAGCTGCTGCAGAAAGTAAGGCAACCCCTCAATGTGACAGAAACACCTACAGTGACTTGACACGTGGTGACAAGACTCAGAGACACAGTCTTCTATGTGGGTTCCAAGACCACAAAGAACAAGCACAGAGACATCAGCTCTGGGTGCTGAAGGGGTGCACATGGACCAGAGCCATGCTGCCCTAGTGGGGCTCGCAGCTGACAAAACCCACTGGGGCGCTGTCCTCACGGTCCAGAAGGGACTTCTACTCCGCTGCGCTGTGACCTCTGCAAAGGATGTGAGGATGCTCTGCTCAGCAGCCCCACACTGTCCACTCCAGGAGACCGTCAGCTTCCCTTCTCCAGGGCACCCACATTACAGACTAGCTCCACCCTGCCCTCACAGGGAGGCAGCTGCTGGCCTTCGCTGGAAATGGAGGCCCATGCTGGGTGTCTCCTCCAAACTACACAGCTCTCAACACCTCCACCTCTTCCCTTGCTGCCCAGCTTTGAGAGGCAGCTGCCCCTACAGGTCCCACCTTTCAGTCCAAGTACCCCTTTAGCCAGTTCGCTCCACCAAGTCTGTCTTCCTCGCTGGCCTGACTGATGACAGTTTCCAAGATAGACCTGAGTGGCTACAGACCTGCCCAGGACTCTAGGCCATGGGAGTTAAGTGCAGAAGGAAGGCAAGGCACCTGGGAAACCAGGCGTCCCCCAAGGCTGACCACCAGATGAGACTGTCAGATGGCAACTGAGAACCACTCACCAGGTTCCAGGCCCGGAACCCCCACTGAAGGGGCAGTGTTACAAGAAAGGCTTAGCTTAGCCACCACCCCAGGAGAACCACAGCCGAGTGGAGCCAGGCAAGGGCAGGGCAGTGTCAATGAGTACCTTGTCACTGGTGAGGGTGGAAGGGTGATGGTGGGTGTGGGGTAGGGAAGGTGAGGGAGACCCTTCAGGCTCTTTGCACCTGTGCACCCAGGAGGATGGAGAAGCAATCACTGAGGGGACACCAAGGCATGCACCCAGGGGGATGGAGATTGACAACTGCATTTCTATTTGTTGAGCTCGTAAGGCCTCAGTATAACGTGCTTAGAAATAATAACCTTCTGTCAGGATCCTTCTCACCCCATTTGCCTCCTGAGAAACAAAAGAAGGTCACACACTGGGCCAGGAAAGGATTGTTAGGGGGCTGTAATAGAATGGCTCTGCCCTGTGAAAGCAGAATGGAGGTTGCTGGGGTGCAGTACGCCCTGGAATAGTGAAGTGACCCCACTGGAGCTGACGGCTTGCTGGGTGCCAACAGAGTGGGGCTGCCAAGGGAGATGGCAGGCGGAGCCTCCTCCAGCCGTGCAGCCCTTGAGCACCCTCGGCAGTGCCTCACGGGGAAAGCAGAGCCTCTGTGCAGCATCACAGGCGTGCTGCAGAGATGGGACAGAGCTGAGGGACAGCTGCTGGGCTGCCAGCTCTCAGGGACCAAAAGGGCACCCCTATCACCGCCCCTCTTCTGTGCATGCAGGGCTTCTGAGGGTGCAGGCAGAGGAGCAAGTTAGGGAGGGCTGACTTGGGGAGCCAAGGCCTAAAAGGCTCTCAGGATGGGGCAGACACAGAACTGGAAGGTGAACAACGTAAGGCAGGGCCAGACAGTGAAGGTGCAGGCCCTGTTGCACAGGGACACGCATGCCAGTGGTCTGCTTGGGGGTCCAACGCTGCTGCTGGGTACATGTGTGATACAAACAACAAGCACTCTCATGATGCTGGTGGGCTCAAGTGAGAAAACATCAGACACAAGTCATGTCCCCTGGGGTAGCTCTACTTTAAGGCACAGGGCAGGGTTGGGTCAGGACCTCATCACGACCCTCTGTGGGAATGGACACAATCCCACACCCGACTTTGGGGTCTCAACGTCCAAGGGTCTGTTTTACCTCCATTCCTTTCAGTCACTTTGGAAGCCAGAAGACACCAAAAAGAAGCAAGAGGACAGGGACTTCCTCCTGCCCAGGGCACAGTACCTTGGGGGGCCAGGGGCATGGGAGCTGGGGCACCAGCTGGGGGCTTTCCTCCCAAAGCATTGAGGGCGCTGTGCACAGCCCCTGCCTGCGACATGGTCTGCATCACCACAGGGCCCGGAGGACGCAGGTATGGCTGCCCGGGTGCCGACACAATCTGGAGCACACTGCCTGCAAGAATGTGGAGAACAGGTGTCTTGTCAGCATGCGGCCAACAGGGAGGAGGCACAGGACGCCCGTCAGCATGCGGCACAGACCCCGCGCCCCAGCAGCAGAGAAGCACCCCAGCACACTGAGATGCGATCCATGTTTCTGGGCTGGCTGCTCCTCCATGGTGAAGGAGGACTCTAAGCAACACTGTCCGTGCTGCCTGGGGCTGAGATCACTGACTCCTTCGATCCCCGCTTGCCAGCCCAGGGGGGGTCAGCTCAGGTCCTGGCACACGGTTGACCGTGCCAGCAGCAGGGAGGCCATGCACAGCTCCTAACACCATGTGGGCAGCAGACCCTGCCAGGCCAGAATGAAGGAAAGCCAGAAAGTTCCAACCAAAACACCCGTGCCTCTGCTAGGACTCTGTAAGCAGCCGCCTGTTAATCGCCTTCTCTGACTCTGGAGGACAGCTCTCCAGGTAGTCAAGGGGAATCACATCAGAGAAAAAGGACCGCCCGTGGTCCAACGGTGCGGGCTACAGAGCCCATGGGGTGAAGGCTTCTCCTGCAGGGCCTCACAGCCCAGCTGCCACAGGACTTCCCAGCGCTCTGATGCAGAGCCTTTGCCCTGGAATAGCCATGACTACCCCTCAGAGGACACCCCAGGACTCACGGGCCCTGACCTAGGAGAGGGGAGGCTAGGGCCGGAGGCGCCCGGGGGCCAAGTGGTTGCTGGAAGGGCTTTATGGTGAGCCCCTCCCTCTTGCCTTCTCAGGACCAGGCACAACTAACGAGCAGTGTTCTCAGCCCGAGGTCCAGGGGTGAAGACTACTCATAAGAGAAGCAAATTCTCCCACATGAACTGTCAACGCTCTGGCATTTTTCAGACAATTCACTTCACACTGAAATTACAAAGCACCAAATCTTTTTTTTTTTTTAATTTAAAAATAAGCCTCTTTACAAAGGGCAAGCATGATAAAGACAATCATCCTTCAGTTGAGGTACGTCCAGTTCCAGGCAACCAAGCAATTCAGTGTGTCTGTCTCCTAACAAGCCCTGTGGAAAGAATTGTCAGTGCTACTGGACAGGCTGAAGCCTAGCGGCCTAATGATCTTCCCAGAAGCAGATCCAGGGCTGGAAACCGCTGTCGTGGGGATGTCACTATAAGACTGCTCCTCTTACCTTGGAGCTGCAGAGGCTGACCTGCTGTCAGCTGCCGGAGTTGGCTGTGGGACAGGGTGAACTTGTTCCCCTGGAACTGCAACGTCACGGGCGTCTCGGGCTGCGCAACGCGGCTCTGCGTCCCTGCTATGGACGCCAGCTGAGCAATTTTCACCACCTCTCCGCCTGTGGAGATGCGGAGGGAAAGGTGAATGCCACTGCTCTGTGGGAGGTGTGAGCCTGCTGCGTGGCAGCCACTGGTCGTGCAGGGTGACCATCACAGTGGGCTCGAGTCTTGGAGGCATGCACCGGTCCCGCCGTCCACCACTTTTAGAAAGTAACTGTCTCCACAGAAAAGAAAAGACAACTCAGAAGGAAGATCAGAGTTTCAAGGTTAGCTTGCTGGACTGTAACTGCTCAGGGTTTTAGACAACCAGGTATAAACAGTATTCCGAGTTACCCGGACAGTTTACGTCTCCCCCAAACAGTAAGAAAAGCCGCCAACAGCAAGAGGAGCAGAAGTCGACCTGGAATACCCTTGAAAACTCGTGTATCAACCTTTGATTTCAGAGAATTTTCAAAATGTAAAAAGTATGTGCCCCACTGAGCTCATGAAGGCACAAAGATTGTACCACTGCAGGTCACAAAGACGAGTACCTATCTTTAAGACATATGAGATTGTATCACTGTAGGTCATACAGACGAGTACCTATCTTCAACTACACTCAGAACCTTTATAGCATCACTGCAGTTCACGAAGACGAGTACCTATCTTCAAGACATACGAGATCTTATCACTGTAGGTCATACAGATGAGTGTCTGTATTCAAGACACGTAAGACTGCATCACTGCAGGTCACACAGACTAGTACGTATCTTCAACTACACTCAAAACTTTCATAGCATCACTGCAGGTTATACAGATGAGTACCTATCTTCACCTATGTGCAGAACCTTTATAGCATCACTGCAGGTCACACAGACGAGTACCTAACCTCAGCTACACTCAGAACATTTACTGTACCGCTGCAGGTCATGCAGATGAGACCTGTGTCAAGTACATCCAGGCCTACATTTAAATGCATAAACAAACACATAGATGTAGTTGAAAATGTCAAGTCTCACTCAACTCTGAATGACCGCAGGAGTTACACCGCCTGCTGTGGGCTTCACCTGGCTCAGACACCATTTTGAGGGTGTGCCCAGCATCAGGTTCAGAGGAAAGAAACCCCTGTGGCTGAGACTGAGCGCAAGGCCCGTATGCCATGGTTAATATTCCAGCTTGCGCATTCCTCCCCAGAGAACTCACACCAGAACTGTCAGCGAAACTCTAAAGAGAAGAGTTAGTACAAGATGGATGCAGAACTGCTGGGCTGAAGTGCTCTGCACATAGACACCCACCAACACGGAGGGGTGAAGAGGCAGCAGCGTGAGTGGTCGCAGCAGCAGACAGACCAGTGTGCACCGTAATCCCTTTAAGAAGAACCCTGCAGCCCAAGGAGAAGAACTCGAATGCAGGGTTCTGCTACCTTGGGAAAGCCAGTGCGGCAATCCCTCCATCTGTCAGCAACGGAAGAAACTTGTGACCAGAGAAAAACTGTTCTAATGCTGGCATGTCCTCATACCACTGCTACACTCTTGCATCTTCCCAGAAAGGCCTCAACACAAGAACCAAAGTCCCTGAGGTAGCATTTGAGAAAGGACACAATCTGTAAGATGTGTCGTTTGGGGATCTCCCCCAGCAGAAGGACCAAGGTGACAGGGCCGATCTGGAGACACACTAATTGCAGTAGCTACCCTAAAAAGTTCTGCCGTAAAAAAAAAAAAAATCAGTAAGACCAGTACGGGTTAGTTATTGGCTATAATATTTCTGTTGAGTGGTAACTCCTTGCGTGTTTAAAGCGGGTACTGAGAAAACAGAAGGTCTAGTGGCTTCTGGACACCTAGAGCCAGTGGGCGGAGTGAGTACCGAGCCTCCGTGTATGAGACCCGCCCCCCTGAACAGAGCCGGCCACTGAGGGGACAGACCCTGTGCTAGTATCAGTGTGAGCACCGCCAGCTGTACCCCAGCACTGCAGGATCTCAGGAGGACAGCAGAGTGAGCACGCGGGAGGGAGAGAGAGAAGCACAGGAAGAGCAGGGCCGGGATGCTGACCCTGAGAGGTGGCAGCCCCTTCACTGGCCAGAGCTGCTGTAGGCAGCACCCATGTGGACCAGGGACAGACAAGGAGTGCACAGCAGAGGCCCCCACTCACGCCGGCACGTGCAGAACAGCTCTGCTGGGTCACAGGGCAGACACCTGGGAGGTGAGGCCACTTACTCGGCAACCGAGCCTGGGCCTGGGCGGTCAGCACCAGCCTCGGGGGCAGGGCACTCTGCGGGGTGGTGTGCGCAGGGGCCGGGGCCGGGGGCGGGGGCGGGCCAGGGGCCGAGGCTGGGGCCGAGGTCGGGCCCCGCAGGCTGGCTGGATGGACTGCACTAGCTGCGGAGGTGAAGGTCGTGGCGGGCTGGTGTCTCGGAGCACTGGAGGAGGCCTGAGGTGGCTGACACTGCGCGGCCGCCGCTGCAATCAATAAGGCGTGTTTGCGCAAAGCTGTTAGAAGTTCTCAACAAAATGCAGTATTTAACCCCGAATTTCCAAGAAGTTAAAAGAACAGTCTCCCATACTGTTTCTCTAGTGATAAGCCCTCTCTTTAAAACAAAGGCCAGTTATACTTTACAGGCTGAGAGAAACGTATCCTATACCCTTGGCTAGCTGTCTTCACATAGAGCCAATCAGTATGGTGAACTGCACATCTCTCAGAGACGATAAAAATGTCTCAGAAGTGGCCCCGTCCGGCGTTATCCTCAGTTAGGTCTGTACGCTAAACACACACACAGAGGTGTAAACAGAGCCCCACTCTTACCTTTCCGGGGAACCGTGCAACAAGGCATTTCTGAGCGATTGTTTCTAGCTTAGAAAAATGTGACAGAAATAATACTGAGAAGCCCTGGGGTGGAAGCCGAACACTGCTGCTCTCACCCTTCCTGCTGCTCCATCGGATGCCTCCTCAGAGTGACAACCACGTTAAGTTAAAATGGTGGCACAATACGTCCCAAGAACGTGCCTTTCAGAAGTGGCCAAGCACCTCTCACATCCATTACCCAATGGAAGAAAGTGTTTCTGCCAACATCCACCTTTCTCTCCAGACAGACAATCACTCAACCAAAGGAAGTGTGCGTGCAGGACAAAACTCCAGTTTAAGGAGAAAGGGTCTCAACCCCACCCGAGAAGGCCTGGGGCCTCTTCAGCAGAGCAGAGTGGGTGGCCCCTGTATCTGCAAGCCAACCACACCGCCCAGGCCACTGGGCCGGAGTATCGTGCTGCCCAACCATACCACCACAAGCCAGGAGGCCTCGCATGCATACCTTTGGCATCTGGATTCGCAGAGAAGGTGGCAATGGGTGGCCGTCCTCGGACCTGGCCCTGAGGTGCGGCAGGAGCTGCAGCAGGCGCTGCTGTCCGGGGCGGGTGGGTGCTGGGGAAGGTCACAGTGCGGCCCTCGGGCTTCTGGCCGTACCGCACAGGCTGAAACAACCTAGGTACCCGTGGTCCGGGCAGGAAGACATATAGGAGAGTCAGGGGACACTGGGGCACTGCTTGGCCATGGGCCACGGGACGTGGGCACCAGAAGCACAGCCTGAGGAGTGAGGAAAGGGTCAGAAGCATGCCCAAGGCCCATGCCATGCAGCCCAGCTGCTCCACGAGCTAGTGCACAACAGTGGTTCCTGGGTTCAAGCAGTGTGCATGGCCCCCAGCCTGTGCCCCATCCACAATGCCACATTTCTAAGGCACCCACTTTCTCTCTTTGGGTTAACCCCAGTGGGGGTTCTGCTTACTCCCCCACTGACTGCCAACTCACTGGAGTGTGCCTCTCTTGGTCCATCTGTGAGTTCCGTCACTCACACCTCCTGTGCCCCAGCTCTGTGGTACCTGACAGACTACTACTGATGGTTCGTAAGCACCGTGGCAGCACCACAGTCGGGCCCCGTGCTCCGCGCCCACCGTGCTGGCGCCATCTGACAGAGTGAGGCTGCCCAGGGCTGGAGAATACCCTGGCCCCTTCCATGCACACCCTGCTCTGAGTCTTGGGGTCAGAGATGCTGACGTACCAAATAAGAAGGGCCCTCCTCCAGAAAGGGCGCACACGCAGCCGTACCTGCTGCTCAAGGCAACATAGGAGGGCCGAGTGTGCTATCACTAAGCGGCAGCTCTCAGGTAACCAAGGGCAGCCAAGGAAGTCCCAGAAGCAGGGAACAAATCTCAGTAAGCCACCTTTAACCTCTCGTGGCCCCAGTCCTTATGTGAAACTCACAGTGCAGGCCGCCTACACGTGAGGGGCACAGCTTCCCAAGGGCTACCGTCCACTGCCCAGAGGTCCTGCCTTCCAGATCACAGCCCTGCCTGCCCAAGCTAGGTCATGAGGGGCAAGGTGCAGGAGGCCCACGGGTCTGGACAGGGAGCAAGGAGGGCTGGGGCTTTGGTCAGGGCGCCCACCTGCTTGGCTTCAGCTTTACAGCAACGGGTCTGGCAGATGGTGGTGGGGCGGCGAAAATCTCCTCAATAAGCTTCCGCGTCACTTTCTTCTTCGACAGCAAGTCTGCCTCATGGCGAGTGAGTTTATTTTCTAGCCCGATAAGATCAAATATAGAAAGGTCTGCTTCCTAAGTAAAAAAGAAAATTCTTGCTCTATGAAGCGGTAGGAAAAGCCCATAACTAAGAACCATGCTACAACATGTGAATGGGAAAGGCCAGCCTGGGGCCCATGACAGCAAAGGCGGGCCCCACTCAGGGCCTGCAGGGGGGCGGCCAGGCAGCTCGCCTCTAGGTGCCTCCGTCCCTCATCTTTGAGATGGGAGCTGTCTCCAGTGGCAGTGGGAACGGAGGAGATGGACCAGAAGGGAGAGGAAGGGGTGTGGAAAGTTCCGGCAGGAACAACGCCAGATGGCAGAACGGGGAGGCGAGCCGGGAGAGCCCGTGCACTGGCACACGCGTGGATGCCAACCCGTGGGCAGTGGGCACACTGACGACAGCCTGTTTGTGTCTCAGTGACAGATGGGCTCACAGGACCAGGAGAGTGCAGTCACAAACACGGAGCTCAGCAAAACACTGAGGGCTCAGCAGACCCTGGGGACACCTGTCACTGGGGGGAGCACTCAGTGGAGCCCTCTGTCGCTCCCAGCACCACACGCTGGTGCCTGTCCCAGGCCTGTGCCCATGGCCGTAATGGACAGCTCAGTGCAGGTCTGCTGGGACAGCAGAACCCAGAGCCTGTCGATGACAGACCACCTCATACACTGAGGAGGGAGGGAGAGGGTGGGGAACAGTGAGGGGGTGCAGCCACCATGGAAACAGGCTGGCAGTCCCTCAGAATGGTGGATAAGGACCTACTATCTGACTTGCACTCCTACTGCCACGTGTGCCTAGAGAAAGGCCGACTCGTCCGTGCACCAATGTGTTCAGCACAGCCAAAAAATAGACATGACTCAAATGTTCACCCCGTGACAGATGAATATAAGGCGGTCCATGCAGACAAGGACTCCTGTCCAGAAGTAACAAGGAAGGGTCCTGACACGTGCTATGACATGGATGAGCCCTGCAGATGTGCTGAGTGAAATAGCCAGTTACAAAAAGACCAGGTCTACAGGACATGCCCAGACCAGACAAGCACAGAGAAAAAGTCAATGAGCGGCTGCCAGGGACCTGGGAGGCTGGGGCTCCTTTTGGGGTGATGAAGCTGCTCTACCACGAGACACTGGCAATGGTAGCACAACCCAGGGAGTAGACGAGAGGCACCGAACTGCCCCCTTTCCGCGAGCAGACTGTACGGTAAACGCAGGCTCTCCTCACGCCGTGACACAGAACACAAGCTCAGAGGAAACAGCTCCGTGGTCTGCTAGCTCCTCTGCCAGTGCCTGGATTTAACGTCTGAGTCGGACTCAGGAATTCTATGCCAAGGGGCAGGAGTGGTCTAAGTCCTGCCAGATGTTGTGTGGGACGAGGCACTTTCAAAATGAGGACAAACCATATTAGGTAGTGATTTCCAGGAAGCACTGTGACCACTGTGGGCGTGGCAGAGAGCTCAGCAGTGAGCCGCCTTATGAATGTTCCACCTACCTTCCAGAAGTCTCTCTGCAGGGCCCTGAGGGTCAGAGAGGCGCACGGGTACCGCAGAGGGCCTGCGACAAAGGGGGAGTCTGGCTGCCGGGGCTCCACGAGGCCCGGGTGGTTGCAGATCCGCTGCAGCTTCATCAGGATGCTCAGGACATTCACAAAGTGCCCGCTCTTGAGGGCCTCCTGAGTCCTGCACGGGCACAGAGAACGGTGAGTCGCTGTTCCTGGGCACGGGCTTCCCATGTGGACCCTTCACAGCCCACGTGTCTAACTCCAGCAATAGTGCAAGGATGCTCCCTCTGGACCGGGCATGACACTGCTCATATACACGCCTGACTCCCTCACAGCCTATGCAGAGAGTGATGTCAGAGACAGGAACGAGGAAGCAGGTGTGACCCAGTGCGCCTCCTCCAGCTGCAGCAACTCCAGCTCCAGCTCCACCCCTCCAGACGATCACCATGGGACTGTGTCAACGGTCCGAGGGAAGCCCTGGTGGGCACCCTGCCTAGAAACACCACGTGGCTTTCTCTGTCCACGGGAACAGCATCTGCAGTATCTACAAGGGCACACGGTGGGGCTGCTGAGAGCTTCAGCCGCCCCTACTCCTGCCCACTCCTCCCAACAGCAGCCAGGCCGTGTGTGCAGGAGCGGACGGACCTGGAGTGGACAGGCACGTACAGGCACACACCTCCACTCTGGCCCACAAACCCAGCTGATAAGCTTTCCAGCAAACCTGCCAAATGTCTGGGTGCAGACAGCACCCTGGGAAACTGCCACACGCAAACCTGCCATCCTCACGTGCTCTAGGCAGGGAGCCTGCTGCTGTCCAGGCGAAGACGGGCAGAGTGCCAGGCCCTGCCTCATCACAACAGGCTGGTGTCACACAGTCTGGCTCTGTCTACTCTCCACCACAAAGCACCCATATGCCATCATCTCAGCATCACTCCAACCAAGGGAAGCCAAGGCAAACAGCCAGGCTTTCCTGAACTGTGGGCCTAGGCCCACTGCATAGCACTGCTGTCTGAGGGGATCTGGTGGGGACGCTAGCTAGCACCCCCACATTGTGCACACAGAGTGGTGTAATTACTAACTCCAAATGTACGTCACAACTCTCAAAACTTAACTCTATGTTTGGTGTTGTTTTTCCATCTACAATCAGGAAAACAGAGCCAAAGCAGGTGCGGACAGATACCGTGGACGGTTCAAGGTAGGCCCGCCCTGCTCTGGTCTTCCAGCAGTGGCGTGGTGATAGACAGCAGAGTGGGACCTGGCCAGCAGCCCCACCCCACGCAGACACAGCTGGCCTAACTCCCAGCCTCCAGGGCCGTGAGGGGAGCCAGGCAGTCCCTGTGACTGCTGTGCATGGTGGGACTCTGAGGGCACATGGCAGATGGCGCAGAACAAGGAGCACAGAGGAGGAGGTCCCGGGCCCTGGGCCCTGGGCCCTGGGCCCCAGGCCAAGAGATGGGCTCTCATGGAGAGCCACCTTCACCACAGCCACAGCGTCAACTGGGGGCTGCGTACAGCAGCCCAGCCCCGTGCCCCAACACCTCCTGATGCCCCCACATGTACCCAGGCTGCAGGGCAACGTCCTCATACAGGGCCTTCTGCCGCCCCCCACACACACACGCACACCTGGGCTGCAGGACGATGTCCCCACACAGGGTCTCCTGTCCCTACACACACATTCCGCTAGCCTGCAGGATGAGGTCCTCGTACAGAAACTTCTGCTTCCCCCCCCCCCACACACACACAGGCTATAGGACAATGTCCTCATACAGGGCCTTCTGCCCCGTCACACACACACACACCCACCCACACCTGGGCTGCAGGACGATGTCCCCACACAGGGCCTCCTGTCCCTACACACACACACCCCCAGGCTGCAGGATGATGTCCTTGTACAGGAACTTCTGCTCCCCGCCCCCGTCTCACACACACACACACACAAAGGCTGTAGGACAACATCCTCATACAGGGCCTTCTGCCCCGTCACAAACACACACACACACACACACCCAGGCTGCAGGACAATGCCCTCGTACAAGGCCTTCTGCCCCATCACACTCACACACAGCACTCACACACACCCGGGCTTCAGGATGATGTCCTCATACAAGGCCTTCTGCTCCACACACACACACACAAAGGCTGCACAACAATGCCCCCACACAGGGCCTTCTGCCAACCCCCCCCACACACGCACCCACCCCCGGGCTGCAGGACGACGCCCTCACACAGGGCCTTATGCCCCGTCACACACACACACACATGCACACACACACACACCCAGGCTGCAGGACGATGTCCCCACACAGGGCCTTCTGCCCCGTCACATGCACACACACATGCACACACACACACACCCCCAGGCTGCAGGACGATGCCCTCATACAGTGCCTTCTGCCCCGTCACACACACACCCGGGCTGCAGAACGACATCTTCATACAGGGCCTTCTGCCCCGTCACACGCACACACAC